GCTGCACCCAGCCTGACCCCGGAGCCTGACCCCCGGCACGGGGGCTCCTGGCCCGGCACCCGCCACACGAAAACAGTGGGTGTCACAGCCTCAAAAATACAACCTAAGGTTTTTTCACTAAAACCTTCCAGAGACTTTTTAGAAAACCCACTCTATTAAGGTATAATTCACACACCATCCCCAGTACACTTATGGAAAGCGTACAGTTCCGCACTCTCGAGCATAGTCTCAGGTATGTTCCACCATCATAATTTTCGAGTATTTTCATTACCTCAGAAAGGAACGTGTACCCTCAGGCGTCACTCATCTCCCCCAGCCTCTTCCCACACCGCTAGTCTACCTTCTGTCTCTATAGATTTGCCTATTCTGGACATCGCATATAAATGCAGTCGTACAATTGGTGTCTTTTGTGTCTGGCTTCTGTCCCTGAGCATAATGCTCCCAAGATCCATCCATGTTGTAGTGTATGTCAGCACTTCATTCCTTTTTATGGCTGAATAATGTTCCATTGTGTGGATGTGCCACATTTTGTTTATCCATTCATCAGTTGATGGACAGTTGGGTTGTGTCCACTTTTTGGCGATTATGAAGAATGCTGCTGTTCACATTGGTTTACAAGTTTTTATGGGCGTATGTTTTTATTTCTCCTGAGTATATACTTAGGAGCAGAATTGCTGGCTGGGTGTCTTAGTCTTTTTAGGAGGCAAAGTGCCACAGACTGGGTGACTTATAAACAACAGACATTTATGTCTTACAGTTCTGGAGGCTAGAAGTCCAAGATAAGTCACCAGCATGGTCGCCTTCTGGGAACGCCCTCTTTCTGGTTCAAAGCCAGTGCCTTCTTGCTGTGTCCTCACATGGTGGAAGGGGCTAGGGGTCTCTCTGGAGCCTCTTTTATAAAGCATTCATCCTATTCACGACAGCTCCGCCCTCATGACTTAAGAATCTCCCAAAGGCCCCACTTACTGTCTCCCCGGGGGGAGGGGGCTAGGGGGGCTGGGAGGGCAAGGGGGGGTTAGGATTTCAACACATGAATTTGGGGGGTGGGACTCAAACATTCAGGTCATAGCACTGGGCCATACGATAACCCTGTATTTCACATTTTGAGGAACTACCAGATAGTTTTCCACAGGGCTGCTCCATTTCACATTCCCACCAGTAGTGTGTGAAGGTTTCCATTTCTCCATACCCTTGCTAACACTTGCTATGTCTGTATTTCTTCTGTCAGCCATCCTAGAGGGTGTGAAGTGGCTATTTTGATTTGCATTTGCCTGATGCCTAATGATGTTGAGCATCCTTTCATGTGCTTAGCGGCTGTTGTACCCACTGCATTTTTATAAATTATAACATATAGCTTCTGTGCAAAAAAGCACACAGGACATTTATATTGATTTAAAAGAAGAATTATAGGGTGCCTGGGAGGCTCAGTCCTTAAGCGTCTGCCTTCGGCTCGGGTCATGATCCCAGGGTCCTGGGATCGAGTCCTGCATCGGGCTCCCTGCTCAGCGGGAAGCCTGCTTCTCCCTCTCCCACTCCCCCTGCTTGTGTTCCCTCTCTCGCTGTGTCTCTCTCTGGCAAATAAATAAAATCTTTAAAAAATAAAAATAAAAGAAGAATTATAAAGCATCCGTATCAAGGAGCAGACATTGCCAGCACCCCAGAAGTGCCCCAGGTGACACCTGTCAACCACAGCCCCTCACGCCCCACCCTGGAGACAGCCACCGTCTTGATATTTGTGACCCTCATTTCTTGACTTCTTATTATACTTTCCGCCTCTCTAGGTGCCCCCGAACAATACAATCCACTTTTGCCTACTTTTGAACCTGATACAGATGAACTCATTCCGTGGACGTCTTTTCCAATTGCTTTTTTCCCTCCCCACTGTATTTCTGAGCTTGACCTCTGTTGGTGTGCTTTGCCGTAGCTGTTCGTCATCACTGTCCTGTAGTGTCCCGCTAAGCGCACCCCTCAGCTTATCCATCCCACCAGGGCTGGCCATACGGAGAGTGCCCAGTGTGAAGATACCGTGAGACCACACTGGGCCCTCTCCATATGTCCTTCAATGCTGCTGCTATGAACGTCCTTGAACCTGGTTCCTGTGCACACAAGCATTTGATTCTCTCAGGTATATGCCTTGGAAGTGAAATTTCTGAGCCATAGGTCAGCGTGTCTTATCAGACACCGTGCAGTGTATGCACACCCACCGGCCGTGCTGAGGGTTCTAGGTGCCCCACATCCTCAGTATCGTCCGAATCCATTTTGAGTGTCCCCCAGCATGAAACTTCTGACTGCACTGCAATCCCAGTCAGCCGGAACCCACTGCCGAACCCTGCCCCCAAAGCGCATCGCCACACCCCCGAGCCTTTTCTTGCTTGCTCTTTTCCCATGCTTCTCAGGCCCAGGCGGGGAGGCGGGCTGGACGCTGGGGAACTATCTCCTCACTGACAACCAAAAGGGACATCTGTGTTATCTGGGGGGCTGCTCATCCCAGTAGCAGCTGCGCGTGTGTGCAGGTTGTATGAGGACGACAGCGCACGGTAGGTGCTCTGTCACACTAGGTGTCCTGGAATCAGAGCATTCAGCCAACTGAAATCTCTGTCCCAGAACATTCTGGATGCTGTGGCATTGCTGGCTCATTTGATTCCAGATACTGTGGTTGAAACAGGGTGGTGCTCCCTACCCGTTGAGTCCACTGACCCAAGCACTGGTCACCTCCTCCTGGAAGCAGAGCTCGCAGGACTGGGAGGACCCTGAACAGGAGCCCATCCTTGGAGACAGGAAACTTATCTTGTCACCTCTGTGTCCTCAGCACCCGCACCGGCCCAGGCCCAGAGGCAGAGCTAATGACTATTTTTTGAATGTCTGATTCTGTTCCAGCACCCTGGCTTTCGCCAAGAAAAGATGGAATTGACTTCATTCCATGTTTCAGTGAAGGCGGCTGAGGCCCAGAAAGGGGGTGTGACAATTCCAAGGTCACAAAGCAAGTCAGCAGAGCCACCAAGCAGTTGATTCACAACCCTCAGCAGTAAGACCCTTGCCTTTGAATGCCCCACAGACCAGCTCCAGGACTTAGCTGAGCCTCAGTTTTTACCCCTCTAAAATGGAATCATGCTAACCTCATAGAGTTAAATAATGCCACATACGAAAACATGGGCCCAGTGCGTGTACAGGTGATTAATAAATGTTCAGTCATTTACTCATTAATCCACTCTTTTTTTCACTCTATAACAGGCAAAGTTAATTTGCCAGTCCAGATGAAGACCAAGAAAATGCTCATACACTGTGACCCAGAAACTGTGCTCACTAGTACATCCCCATCCCAGTGCCTGGTACACAGTAGGAGCTTCATAAATGTCTGTTGGGATAAAATCGGGCTGAAGATGATGAGAAAGGAAGAGAAGCTTTAGTTCCAAAGATACTTCCTTCTATAATATAGTTTAAACAAAGAAAGAAGAAAGAAGGCAGGGAGAGAAAAGATTTTAAAAAGAACAAACCCCAAAGCCTGAAAACAAGCTAAATATCCAGTACCACGGGGGGTTGGTAAATGTTGCTTTCTTTGCTTGCAGGGATATTCCAAGGCAGGGGTCAGCAAAATATGGCTCACGGGCCAACTGCCCACGTACCAGCCATTAGTTTTGCCTGTCCTTGAACTTCGTTATCAGTGGGATCACACAGTTGGTTCTTTCTGGCATCCAACTTCTTTCACTCAGCATTACGTCTTAGAGATCTGTTCTTTTTGTGTGTATTAGTTCATTCTTTTCTGTTGCTGTCAGGTGCTTCGTTGTATGATTACAGTTAGTTACAATTATCATCCCCGTTTTGCATACGGGGAAACTGCAGCACAGAGGACTCAAGGAGGTTGCCCAAGGGCACACAGCAGGTTGGTGTTAGATCTGGGATTTAAACCCAGAGTCCAGCATCTGTGCTTCTCGTTCCCCGTATAGTGCTGCATCTCATTGCTATGGCGATGGGAGCCTGAGGGGAATTGGGAACTCAGAAGAAGAGGCACACCATGTAGCCTGGAGGGCAGGGAAAGCTGCCAGGGAAGGCTAAATCAGAGCCAGGGTTCCCAGCCTCGGGTGTTCACCGTGCCTGGCAGATGTCATAAGTGGTCAAAGCAGAGGACCTCTGAGGTCGGGGAGGCAATATGGAGTGGTGGGGACTGTGGCAGATTGAGGGATGCCAGCCAGGGAAGGAGGCAGCTGCTGGGACAGCTCCCGGTGTTGCTGCCACGTGACCGTGCTGGCAGAGGCTGTGGGGAGAGGACGGCCATGCTGCCCTCCCCGTAGGTCAGCCCTCAGCTGTGCCAGTTAGTAAATGATTTGACTCTCACCCTAGAGTTGCCAGATGCCCTTTCTGTTTGCCAAAACACAGAAACCAACCAACCAACCAACCCCGGAAGTCTATCTGCTGGTTTTTAAATGTTGGTTCAAAAATGATTTTAAACCTGTGCAGGCCAGGGGCACCTGGGTGGCTCAGTCGGTTAAATGTCTGCCTTCGGCTCAGGTCATGATCCTGGGGTCCTGGGATCGAGTCCCGCATGGGGCTCCCTGCTCAGCGGGGAGTCTGCTTCTCCCACTTCCTCTGCCCCTCCCCGGCTCGTGCTCTCGCTCTCCATCTCTCTCTCTTAAATAAATAAATAAAATCTTTTAAAAAATAATAAAAAATAAATAAAGCTGTGCAGGTCAAAGAGAACCCTCTGTGTGCCCTGGACTGGCCTGAACTGACCTGAGCACCAATCTAAGGACCAGATAGGAGTTGGGAGGGGCCGGGAGAGCAAGTGAGCTCCAGGTAGAAGCACAGCACAGAGGCCAGGGGTGAGAGGGATTTGAAACCAGGTCTGAGACCCCCACCACAAAGAACCTCAAAAGCCCAAGCCGGGTAGGCTGGGCGAGGCTGGGCGGGGCTGGGCGGGGGTGGGCCGGGCTGGGGGCCGCCCAGGACCGCTGCTTGCAGTGTGCAGTGACATGCGCTGTGCTCTTCCCTGCCCGCCCCTGCAGATCCTGGAGGAGAACATGAAGCTGGAATGTAAGTGCCACGGTGTGTCTGGCTCGTGCACCACCAAGACATGCTGGACCACGCTGCCGCAGTTCCGGGAGCTGGGCTACGTGCTCAAGGACAAGTACAACGAGGCTGTCCACGTGGAGCCAGTGCGCGCCAGCCGCAACAAGCGGCCCACCTTCCTGAAGATCAAGAAGCCGCTGTCGTACCGCAAGCCCATGGACACAGACCTGGTGTACATCGAGAAGTCGCCCAATTACTGCGAGGAGGACCCGGTGACGGGCAGCGTGGGCACGCAGGGCCGCGCCTGCAACAAGACGGCCCCGCAGGCCAGCGGCTGCGACCTCATGTGCTGTGGCCGCGGCTACAACACCCACCAGTACGCCCGCGTGTGGCAGTGCAACTGCAAGTTCCACTGGTGCTGTTATGTCAAGTGCAACACCTGCAGCGAGCGCACCGAGGTGTACACGTGCAAGTGAGCCCGGGACTCGGCGGCTGGGCGCCTCCAGCTGCAAGTCAGACTGCAGGGGGGACCGGACAGCTTCCGGCTGCAGTCACCCTGGCAGGTCTTGTCCGGGATCTCGGCGGGGGAATGCTGAGCTTGTCTTTTCTGCTGTGGGGACACCTCTCCTGGGTTTTCTGCAGGCGCCCGGTGGAAAGATCTCCCCAGAGCCCTGGACTGTTCTCTTCCACACCCACTGCTGCTCCGCCCCACCCCACACACTGCCTGGTGGGGCCCTCCTCGGCTGGAGCAGAGCCTTTTGCACCAGGAGCTCTGGGCCCTGGGGCCTCAACATAGCAATATTTAACAATTTATTCTGATAAAAAATAATATTAATTTATTAAATTAAAAAAGAATCCTCCCACCTCATCGGGATCCGTTTTCTGCAATCAAAGTGGACTGCTTGCTTTCCTTGCGGGATAATTTTGTTGCTAGGACAAGGAGTCAAGTAGAACTGTACATAATTATCCTTTATGCAGATATTTCTACTAGTTGATTTTGCAAGTACCGCCCCCCCTTGCAGCACTAGATGTTTAAGAGCAGACGTCCTTTATACATATATAGATATATATACACACACGTTTATATTTTTTTGCTGTTTGCTGCTACTTATCCAGAAATTTAAGCTGGTCCAGATTTGGAGTCGTCTCCCAGATTATGATTCCCATCCTTTAGTCCTCCCCAGCTCAAACTTACACCAGTAGAAGAATCCAGTTTGGAATACAGAGAGAGAGGAAAGATAATAATAAAACTCCCAGCAGTTTCCATCTTTTGGAAAGTGAGCCACTGGATAAGAGAGAATATTTTGTAAGAGACTATTTTTATATGAATATTTTATTTATATCGAGTCTGCCTGTATGATTCCATGGCCTGTGCTTCTTCTTAATTCTGGTACTTGCTTTGGGGTAAGGAGGAGCGAGGCCTGGTTCCCATGGGGACCCTCACATAGCTGGGTTCTCGAGTTCTGTTGGCCAAGCAGGCAGAAGTGGCCCCTGGATGCCTGGGTTGGGGTGGCATTGGTATTACCTGGGAAAGGAATCAGATCCCCAGCCTACGCCTTTTGAGCAAGGTCACTGTGATGAGCCATGTGGCGGGCAGGCCCGTGCCCTTGGCATTGGGTGACCATTAGAGGGCTTGATGGTTCGCCACATGGCAAAACCAGCTCAGGGAGCCCGCTGCTCACCAGGATGCCCCTCCCATTGCCGTGGGTCCTGACAGGTGAGGCACAGTCCTCAGTTACGGAGCAGAAAAACTGGGGTGAGGGATCCCATGAGTAGCAGGGCTCAACAGGGCTTCCTGGATGTCGCGGTCCTAGAGCAGACCGGCAGAGAGTTGTGGATGAGTCCTCTTTGCTCTGGGTCCACCTATATCCAGTGCCTGCCAACCTGCAAAGCTCTCCTCCAAGAGGCTGTGGGTGTTCTAATATGTGTCCGTTTGCATTTCTGTGTGCATGTGTGTGTGTTTGTGTGTGTGTGCGTGACCTTTGGGAGTCTTGGGGGTAGTCACGTGACTTTGCACCTTCGAGCACCTCTGCGGTGCTGATGTGCTTACATTGTGTGTTCTCCTGCATATACCCAGCTGTGTGTGTGTCTCTCTCCATGTGCCTGAGAGATTCAGGGGGGTGTGTGCCTGTGCATCTGCTGGTCCCCAGGTGTCTCTGCTTGCGGGTGAGGTGTGGTGTGAGGCAGACTACAGGGACCTTTGGCGATTGTGTTGAGCCACCAAGAGATGGCACCTCTAAACTCTGTGCCCACAGACACTGGTGAAACTCAGATACCTCTGAGACCACAGCCTGATGGCCCCACGCACTGGGAGCCCCTCAGTGTCTAGGCTGTGTTGGACTCCCCAATGTCAGCACTGGGCCTGGATCACAGCATGGACAAATAAAATGGCTGGATGGTTGGTTGATTTCTTCCGTTGGACCGTTTATTTCTTCTTTACTTGGGTGTCAGGATGGGTAGGGATGTGAAGGAATGAGTGGATGGATGGATAGCTGGATGGATGGGTGAGTGGATGGATGGATGGATGGATGGATGGTGGAATGGGTAGGTGGGTGGGTAAGTAGATGGGTGGATATCTGGATGGGGGAGTGGGTGGGTGGATGGGTGGATAGGTAGGTAGGTGGGTAGGTAAGGGAGGAGAAAATATACAGAAACTTCTTAGATTCCATGTTACAGTCTATCTCTGCCTTAGAAAACCAGAGTCTACCATGAGCAAAGAGAATTCCCAAGTTTGCAGTCCCTCTGTTCCTGGCCTCATGGTGTCCAAGAATTGGGAAGGTTCTGACCAGCCTCCCCAGATACCAGAAATTACCCCCATGCCCTTCCTTACTATCCAGATGAAGAGTGTGTCTGGCATGAGGGCAGCAAGACCTACAAAAAGAATGGCCAGGTTGCCTGCCAGCCTGTCACCTGGCCCCTTAGCACACTTTTAGTTCCTAACCCTAGGCCTGCTCCCTCGCTGAGGTCCCCAGCTCAGTTGAGCTCTGAGCCTCAATTTCTCCATCTGTAAAGGTAGGATAATAATATTTACGTCACGGCGTCCTCCTAGTGATGATTGTATGGCACTTTGAGTTGCAGAGCAATGGATGAATGATAAATATTACTATTATTAACTAATACTATTCTTTCCATAATGATGAGATTCTTCAAACACAATGGTAAAAAATATTGGGCACTGTGTTGGGCAAAGTTATTTCCCCCTCTTTGGTTTATTCCTAAAATAGCTTTTCAATAAAGCAGACATGAAAAAGGCCCAAATCTTAAGAGACTGAATCAAAAACTTAAGTAAAATCTCCCACCTTTTTGGTATTTTGACAAACACCATGAGGATGGTGCAGGCTGCAAGCTGAATTTGGCCTTTGGACCACCAGCGTACAGCCTCTGATTTGGACCAAAACTCTCGTTTTAGAGATGGAGAAACTGAGGCCCAGAGAGGGGCAGGGCTTTATGCAAGGGCACGCAGTAAGTCTAGCAGAAAGAAGACCAAGGGCGGGACTTGTGCCTCCTGGGAAAGGCCTCTCATCAACACGGTACACCCAGCCGCAGCAAAATAGTTTGCAGGGGGCTTGGGAAGGATAAATGTCCTATTTGTTGTTCAGACATACATATGCATGCATACATGTGTGTGCACACACATTCCCACATCCTCTGGACTTCAGTTTAAATCTAGCCCAAGGCTCCACAGGGCAGGATCTAGACCTTCCCAAGGGCCCTGAAGGGATAGGCCTGCAGGGGGTGCCCCGGCAGCTGGCCAAGGGAACCCCAAATCCTCCCATTCTCCCCTATCCCAGAGCCTCACCTTCTCCACCTCTGTCAGCTGTCTGGTCCCGGACTCAGTCTTGGGTCTTATCTTCCTCTACCCCCCATCCATCAGCAAATCCCATTAGTCTACATCAAAATATACCCAAATCTGACAGCTCTCTGTCAGCACAGCCAGCAGCCTTTGGTGGCAGAGTCTGGCTACATTCGCACCATGCTGGGGTCCTCTTGTTCCAGGTCATATTGCTGGAGCACGTTTCAGTCTCCCTTGCAGTTGAGAGTGGCCGGGGGGCTAGGCTCTGGACCACGAAGTGGGGGTGATGTGCTCCACTCCCAGCCCATCAACACTTCGCAGGCTCTTTCCCTTCTACAAGCCTGACACAGCCACCCAAGGGCCATAGAGTATAGGCAGCAGAACCATAGAAGGAAGGGCTCCGAATTGTCCCTGAATGGCCACTTTGAGGAGAGCCACCTTCTGATCAGGAACACTGACAAGCAAGAAATATACATCTTGTTGTGGAAGCCGCTGAGATTTGGCAATTCATCTGTGACAGCACAGAGCCCCTCCCTCATGAGGCTCCAGCTCGTGGCCTTCCTTCTATTCTTCCAAACGTGCCATGTTCCGTCCTGCCTCTGGGCCTTTGCATCGGCTGTTCCCTCTGACCTTTGCATGGCTGGCTATTTTTGGTTAATAAGACTCAACTCCAATGCCAACTCTTCAATAGTATAATCCCAGCGACCCTGGCTTCCAACACCTTATATCCACTATTTTTGTTTCTTTGTGGCATTTACCATTATATTAAATGGTATTCCTCATTTATTAGAGGCTGTGCAGATTAGTGGTGAAGAGCACGGGGCCAGATGCCCTGTGTTCCAACCTGCCTCTGCTGTTTTCTGCTGTGTAGTTTAGAGCCAGTAACCTAACCTGTGCCTGGACAGTAATAGAATCAGTGCAGTGATTAACTGAACTAACACACACAAACTGCAAAACGCAGTGCCTGGCACACCGTCAGGGCTGAGGAAGTGTGAGGCTTGGGTATTAATACATTTATTAAGTTTCATAAGTGTAGGACTTCATCTATCTTTGGTGCACTGGGTCTCCAGTGCCCAGCACATAGTTGGAGTTAATAAATCTTTGTTGAATCAGAATGACTGAAGATCTGGAGCCCGTTCCCAGATTCACCAGGCTCCCGCTTGGGCTCGGGCGAGCTTCTAGAGCTAAGGAGCTGGGGGACGAGAGTTGGCGGGTCCCGAGTGCTGCCTGCCTGCTCAGGGGCCGGCTGGGAGTGCAGAGACAGACCCAGCTCTCTTAATGTGATCACAGACACACCCGCTCTTCGACAAGGTGGCCACTGGTTGCCACAACGACGCTCCTGGCCCCAGAAGAATGTGCTGGAGGCAACAGCAAAACTTTGCCGCCATCTTCCAGCGTAGCCTCCAAGATGCCCAGCCACCCCTGACCCAGAGAGAGCGTCATGGCACAGGCTTGTGGATGTGCACGCGGACCCACGTAGCACATGGACACTGAGCCAGAGAGCCAAAGGGACCCGCACGGGGCAAAGGGAGGGACCAAGCCCTCACCAAGGGGAAGTGCAGGCCCACATCTGCCATGACCGGAGCCCCAGACAGACCTCACTGGCAGGCCCTGAGGGACACACACAGGCCACGCCAAGGAGTGCCAGGTCATACTCATAAGATGTACACCCAGAGGCCGCTCACAGATTGAAAAGCCTGGGTTACCTGGACGTTGGCTTGACCTTCACTGTTCACCTATAGTCCCTGGCACCTGCTTGGCGTCAGGCCCCCAGTGTGTGTGTGTGTGTGTGTATGTGTGTGTGTGTGTGCGCACGTGCGCACCTGCACATGTGTTGGGTGCAGGGGCAGGGCGGGAATCAGGGGTGTGCAGGTTGGAGGGCACCCAGGATACTCCTGGGCTCCATTCAGCTCTGCCCCCTCTGACCATGGAGGACCTGGGCCAGGAGGGCCCTTCCAGCCTCTGAGCCTCAGTGACCTCGCTGTAAAGTGCACTCTAACCACAGGTGGGCTCCTCGTGGCTCTGGGAGTGGACATCGTGGCCGAGACTGCACCAGCACTGTCTCACGCCAGCCCAAGTTCTGTCCCCGTGGCCGGGATGTGCGGGCGGCTCCGGGGCGGCTAGGGGCCTGCCTGAGATGGGCCTCAGACAGGGATTCTCAACCCGTGAGCCGCGGACCTCCCTCGGGATTAGGAGATCAGAAGGTCACAACTATTTTTATGGTAATACTAAGATACTTGCCTTTTTTACCCTCATGCACTCAGAGGTGTAAGGTGGGCTTTTCCAGAGGCCGGATGACGCACAGGAGGCCAGATGCCGTGGTGGATGTGAGAAGGCAGCCGACTTCAATGAAGCCACATGGGAGAGATGGGCAGAAATGTAAAACAAATGCCACTTTTCTCACTGTTCTATTTTATTGGTTTTACAACATAGAGCTATTTTCACTCAAAATGTGTTATTTATGTAAACAGTGGACTCATTATCATTGAAGATGAACACATAGATATTTACATTTTTTTCTCAGCTTCAATTTCTATT